TTTGCGGGAGCAGAAAGCCTCCTTTTTCTCCCATGGAGTGTCTGGTGGGCTTGAACTGCCAACCTTGTGGTTAAGAGTCTAGCCCTTATCCTACAGAGCCACCGCACTCCCTCATTTAGCTTGTTGTTGTTGTTAAGTGCCGTTGAGTCGGTTCCGACCCATAGCGACCCTGTACAGGGTTTCCGAGGGTGTAAATCCTTACGGGAGTAGAAAGCCTCATCTTTCTCCCGCGAAGCAGCTGGTAGTTTCGAACCGCTGACCTTAAGGTTCGCAGCCCGATTCATAACCACTACGCTACCAGAGCTTAGCATTCCACTATTTAAGATGTAGCGCAGTGGGTTACTTCTTAGGGCTCTCCTACCCATAGCCCTTGTAACTCCCACCAAACAATGTCTTCCTGCTAATCCAGTTGTGATTACTAACAGGGTTTCCTGCGCATTGACCCACATTCAGAAAGCTGTGTCACGGGAACAGCAGCAGCAGAACTGAGTGCTAGAGCAGGAGACAGAGCAGTGGGCATCCCAGCCCAGAGAGCAAGGAAAGCTGAGTGACTTTGGGCAGGAGGCATGCTTGCAGATGGGGTGCCTCTAGGCACCTAATTAGGGGAGCTAGGTTTGTTGACGCATGGAGCTAGAGTCAAGTGAGGCTGAGGCTGAGGCTTCTGGTGGAATGGTGTTCCCTGTGCTCATTTATCAGCAGCCCTGAAAGAGCTTTGTATCTATCACTGCTGAGCAGGGCAGAGACCAGGCCAAGAGACCAAGGGCCTACGGGCATGGCAGAGGAGAGGCTGTCTGAACTGGAAGAACTGTGCCATCAGCATTTCTGATCCTGAGTTGGAGCCTGTTAATTTCCCTAATAAACACCGCAGCAACATTCCGGATGTAAGTATGTCATCCAGATTCTGTGTGGCCATTGCAGTGAATTATTGAACCCAGCTGAGGAATCGAGAGTGCTGTTACAAGGATGGTTTGCTGTTCATTTTGGCATAAATACATTCAAATCATTTCCAAAAATTTTGGCCACTAAAATCTATGTGCCAGCAAATATCCTTACGATTGTTGTTGTTAAGGACCATCAAGTCAGTTCCGACTCATAGTGACCGTGTATAGAGCTTCCAAGGGGTGACTGGTGGGCTTGAACTGCTGACTTTGAGGTGAGCAGTTACATAAGGACTCCATCTTTCCATACTGGTGCTTTATTTTCATATCATCAATTCTGAAAATGAAATTTAGCACTGATTCTATCTCAAAAATGAAACAAAGTACTTCACACATATTACATCATTTAAGAACGCTGGAAATTATGCAGGTCCAGGTAATGTTCAAGGAGCTCTGGTAGCATAGTGGTTATGAATCGGGCTGCAAACCTTAAGGTCAGCAATTCAAAACTACCAGCCACTCCATCTGAGAAAGATGAGGCTTTCTGCTCCCGTGAAGATTTACAGCCTTGGAAACCCTGTACAGGGTCACTATGGGTCAGAACCGACTCGATGGCACATAACAACAACAACAACAACCCTGACATACCCTATGGGATGGAGTCCTGGTGTGGCGCTGTGGGTTAATGCTCCAGACTGCAAAGTCATTTGAACTGCAAGGTCAGTGGTTCAAGCTCACCAGCTGCTCCTCGGAAACCTTATACAGAGTCGCTATGGGTCGGAATCGACTTGGCTGCACTTAACAACAACAACCCTATGGGATATTATTGTTGTTGTCATTAAGTGCCATGGAGTTTGTTCTAACTCATGTTGTTGTTGTTGTTGTTGTTGCTAGGTGCCATCGAGTCAGTAGAACGAAACACTGCCCAATCCTGGGCCAACCCAATATAGGGTTTCCAAGGAGCAGCTGGTGAGTTTGAATCACTGACCTTGCAATTTCCAATCCAGTGCTTATCCTAACAATACCACACAAGGACTCCTGAGATATTATCAGTACCCCTATTTTAAGACAGGAGTTCTGGTGTGGTGCTATGGGTTAATGCACTGGATTGCAAGGTAGGTTTGAACAGCAAGGTCAGGGTTCAAGCTCACCAACCACTCCTCAGAAACCTTATACAGGGTCGCTATGAGTTGATACCAACTCGATGGCATTTAACAACAACACCATTTTAAGAATGGAATCCTAGTGTGACACTATAGGATAAGCACTGGACTAACTGCAGTGTCAGCAGTTCAAATCCACCAGCCACTCCTCGGAAATTATATACAGGGTCGTTATGAGTCGGAACCATTTGACAACACTTATACAGGGTCGTTATGGGTCAGGATCGACTCAACAGCACTTAACAACAACAACAATGATGAATGAGGAGTCCTAGTGTGGCGTTGTGAGTTAATGCACCAGATTGCAAAGCAGTTTGAACTGCAAGGTTGGCGGTTCAAGCTCACCAGTCACTCCTCGGAAACCCTATACAGGGTCACTCTGGGTCAGAACCAACTCGACGGCATTTAACAACAACAAATGATGAATGACTAATTTTAAGAATGATATAATTGAGGTAAATAACCTGCCCATTGAGTCTTTAATTAGGACTGAGGGATAATAGATTTGAGTTTAATTATCTTGCTCAAATTCACTAAGCACTAAGTAGTAGATAAGAGATTTGAATGCAGGTGGTCTGATTGCCAAGTAAGTCCATGCTCTTAAAATGACTCTTACCCAGATATTGCCAAATTCCTTCCCCAGCCATTACCAGTACCTTCGGGATGGTTTCAAGAAACCATTCAAAGCAGTCCCTTGAGCACCATGGAGTGCCTATCTCATAACGGGCTCAACACCAGGTGGTGAGTGTGCTGCCTGTAAATGGCTGTTTTGTCATCTGAAAAGCCTTCTGAGATGTAGAGTCCGGTTACCTTGGGGACTGTCTCTCTCCTTAGATCCCCTCATAACAGTTGGGACCAAGAAATGAATACACATTGCTAGTAAATGGTATGCAGAATACTGCACCAAAACAGGGTGTCTCTGCTAACAGCTTCCAGATTTACACTTCAGGGAAGCAGGCACTGGGAAATTTCCATTCATAGCTTATGTCGTTAAAATTGGTACTTAAAATGTCTCCTGTCTTTTGATGTGTGCAAACTCCTTCCTCCCCTCTCAAAACCAAAATTCCCCAAACTGATTAAAATTATAATGGTATACTACTGTTTTTATGTTTCTTATTAATTTTATATACTTCTTACAAAAGAGTTTCAAGTTGCAATAGAGCCCTGGAGACTTTAGCTAAGTGTGTGGTTTTTGCTAATCAAATAAATGAACCAAATTAAACTAAGCAATCTGGAACTGTTTGTTTTTGCTTTCCCCTTGGGGCACAAAAACTTGAGGGTGAGATATTGCATTTTGGTTCTTGTAGTGAAAGAGCACTGAGAAAAGAAAAATGTAAAATATTGTCCTGAGTTCAACACCATAGTTTAGAAGAGACACAGTCAGAGACACAATGGGATGATCACAATGCCCTGAGAGAATGTACACAGCAAGTGTATGGGTGGTGGCTTCACAAAGAAAACCTTCCTGGTTTTATGCCTCTAGAAAGGCAACCTGAGGTACTAAATACTAGAGGTACTCAGGTTGATGATAAACATTTGGCAAAATCCTGTAGAAACCCTACTGCTGATCTGGGAACTTCTGTGGAATGACCTAAGGTTAGATTGGCATCATTGCCCCTCTGGTGGCAAGTCATTATTATGCAAGGGTGCTTCTGAGAAAACAAATGGAAATGATTTGCACTGAAAACTCCTTGCCTTAAGCACAAATCTTGTTTTTTGTTAAGTGCCTTCAAGTCAATTTTGACTCATAGTGACCCTGCATGTGGTTTGCAAGCAGAGGCTGATGGGTTTGAACAGACAACCTTGCAGTTAGCAGTACAGTGCTTATCTTACAGTGCCACACTAGTACTCCATGTTGTTGTTGTTAATAAGAGTCTTCGAGTAAGTTTCGACTCAAAGTGACACTTTATATGGTTTCCAAGGAGTGGCTGGTGAGTTTGAACCTCTGACTTCATAATTCACACAGATGTTGTGGGCCAGTGCTTATCCTACAACGAGACACCAGGACTCCCCAGGACTCTATACAAGCTGTAAACTGAACTCCTAATGAAACAGCCAGAGAAGGAGAGAAGATATCGCTGCACTAAAATTACTAGTCTGTCATGGAAATTGCCAGGATGTAGAACTGCTTCTCTAGTGTGAGGTTTAGAAGCTTTTTGTGACAACTTTAGAGTTAGTATATAAAATCAGGTTGGTGACTAAGGTCACGTTGGGACAAGAGTCACTAATGGAAACCAATAGCTAAATTTGATCAATTTAAGATTTGAAGAAATATCTAAAATTTAGAAACGCTCACTTATTCTGCATCAACTCATTTCACACATTCATTCCTCTCTTGGCAGTCAAGTAGGAAAAGTATGATTGGATCTAGTTTATATGGGAGGAATCACTCAGAAAAAGTATTGGAATTTGCCCAGGGCCCACAGCTGATAGTGTGGTAAAATGGTACAAGAGCTCTGGCTGTTAGGTTATGTATTTCATTGTTGTTGAGTGCCATTGAGTCGGTTCCGACCCATAGCGACCCCGCAAAGGGTTTCCAAGGAGCAGCTGGTGAGCTTGAACCAGTGACTTTGCAGTTCAATTGGTTTGCTTCAAAACCATACTTCTGATGATGCAAAGGGCCCAATGTCAAGGCCAGACTATGGAGTTCAGCAAACTCTTCTCTCTCTGTGAATAAGGGAGTTAAAGCCCCACAGTAGTAAAGAAACCAAACCGACAGCTACAGTGATGATGGGTAACACAGGAACTGAAGACTAGAGATGTGAGAAGGCCGCGGATGACTGGGGTGGGCTGTAGATCATCCAGGGGACTCACTTGGTATTGCGCAGAGCTGGACTACCAGCTTTGAGGCACTGCCCAGCCTAGCAGGCGCCCCACCTGCTCAGCTCGTGCCTGCATCTCTTCCGGCTCCTCACCCCGCCCGCCCATCTCCCACTCGCCCTCGGCCGTGGTCACTCACTCACGGTCTGGGACACTTTCAACTCCTGGTTGAGCCACTGGCACAAAATCTCCGACATGGCTCAGATCGCCTTTCAGACAGCAAATCAAGGAAGTAACGCAGCGGGAAACCTGCCCGCAGGCCCGCGTCCTCCCGTTGCCCAAGGCAACCCGTTGCAAAGAAAGGGAATCTAAGCTGGAGCCAGGTGATAGGTTCTGAGAAGAGGGTACACCAGAGCCCAACGGTGGAGTCCTGAAACGATGGACTGCCCCCTGCTGGCGGGTAAGACCGGGATGTGCGCAGCCCCAAAGTCCCTGAAGGGGTGGTGGCTATAGCAGAGGGGGCAAGAAGAGAAAACTCAAGGACTAACTAAGGGTTCTTAGAAGAGCAAAAAGAACCAGAGAGGATCTTTTGATTGAAAGGGCACTTCTTTTTCCTGTTTGTCTTTTAATGAAACCCATGTACTAATGGCAGCAATTTTGTCATAGATTAACAAATTGCTAGTATAGGCCTTGTATACGGTTTCCAAAGACCGGTTGGCGGATTTGAAGCACCAGCTTTGCGGTTAGCAGTCCAGTGCTTATCCTACAAGGTCACTCCAATACCCCATATTATATATGCTGTTGTTGTTGTTAAGTGCTGTGGTCTCGGTTCCAACCCATAGCAACCCTGTATAGGGTTTCCAAGGAGTGGCTGGTGAGCTTGAACCACTGACTTTGCAGTTCAAAGCGACCTTGCAGTCCAGCGCATACACCCACAGCACCAGAGTTGTTGTTGTTGTTGTTAAGGGCTGTCGAGTTGATATATTATACAGACAATATCTGTATGTTACATATAAATCATCTTAAATGTGTAATATGTAAGGCATGCATAATATCACATATGTACATGGATACACATATATGTAGGTGTGTATGTGTGTGCATATGGTCACAAAATCAATGAATTTCTCCCAAATTCAGATACACCATATTATCATTTTTAGACTGTAGGAACATACCAGTAATGGACTAATAGAACAAATGTTCTCTGAGATTGATCCTAAATTGATCTGTATTGCCCAGATTGAATAGACATTTAGTGTCATATCTCTGTACCTTTACATTTCTAAACCCCATTCATGAGATTCCTTAATACCTGTAGTGGCTTCGCATTTTCATTTTTATCTGATTGTCCTGTTTTACTGCAAGTTGTTGTTATGTGCCGTGGAGTCAGTTCCGACTCCTAGCGACCCTGTACAGGGTTTCTGAGGCTGTAAATGTTTACGGAAGCAGAAAGCCTCATCGTTCTCCCATGGAGCAGCTGGTGGTTTCAAACTGCTGACTGTAAGAACAACAGCCTGATTCGTAACCACTACTGTACCAGACTGCCAGAGCTGACTGTAATGTCCCAATCACGCCTCAGGATAGCAGTCGGCTTTCCTCTATCTGTTTTACAGAGTGAATTTCCTGTGTGGAGCAATAGTATTTCAGGAAGCAGGAAAATATGAGAAGGATATGACCCTGATTGGAGCTATTATTTCAATACATTGTGCAAAATCCAGGTTATTTTGGTTGAGCCTGATGCTCTCAACACAGAAGAAATGGCTGCCACTGGAATTTGAATGAAAATGTATTGCCAGCAAACTGGAGGCCTGATACATTCGAAATATTTCTCAGTAGAGAGAAACATCTGTTGACCTGATATATGATAGAACAGAACATTGCCTGTTGTTGTTGTTAAGTGCCGTCAAGTCGATTTTGACCCATAGTGACCCTGTATAGGGTTTCCGAGGAGCAGCTGGTGAGCTTGAACCACTGACTTTGCAGTTCAAACAGCTTTGCAGTCTGAACGTTGTCTTGCTTTTGTTGTTACGTGCCTTCGAGTCAGTTTCCAAGGCTGTAAATCTTTACAGGAGCAGAACTCCTCATCTTTCTCCTGTGGAACAGCTGATAGTTTCGAACTGCTGACCTTAAGGTTCGCAGCCCGATTTGTAACCGCTATGCTACCAGAGCTCCTTGAACATTGCCTGGACCTGCATAATTTCCAGCATTACCGGCATTTTCAAGCTCATCATTTTAGTTATTATGCCAATCCATGTCACTGCTGGCCTTCCAGGCTGTTGTTGAGTCTCAACTTCATCACATATATGTCCTCCTCCAGAATTCGATCATATTCGATGATATGCTCAAAGCAAGCAAGTTGGATAATATTCTGTTGGGATCTGTTAGATTTTCACTGGCTAGTTTTTAGAGGCAGATTCCCTGGCCTTTCTTTCTTCTTAGCATGTCTTAGTCTGGAAACTCTCTTGAGACACGTCCTCCATGGGTGACCTTGCTGATATTTGAAATACTGGTGGTATATATTCTAGCACCAGGCACTGCCCTTGGGCTCCCAAGTCTGGTGGTATTGGAGGGATAACCTTTTGGGGCGGGAGCTGGGATTTTCAGAACACATGTTGTCATGTGTCTGTGTGTGGTAGGGGGATTTGGAAGAAGATAAATCACAGTTTCAGGGCACAGAGTGGGGATTTACTGTCAATTATACACCAGCATTTGTATGCTGAGAAAATAGTCCGAGAAGCTGGGTTATGCAAAGAGAAACATGGCATCAGGATTGAAGGAAAATGTATTAACAAGCTGTGATAGGCAGGTGATAGAACCTTGCTTGCTGGAAGTGAAGAAGACTTAAAATATTTACTGATGAAGATCAAAGACCACAGCCTTTGGATTGCATCGCAATGTAAAGAAAACAAAAATCCTGACCACTGCACCAATAAACAGCATTCTTATCAACAGAGAAAAGATTGAAGTTGTCAAGGACGTCATTCTTCTTGGATCAGCTATCAACACTCATGGAAGCAGTAGTCAAGAGATCAGATGACGTTTTGCAGTAAGCAAATCTTTTGCACAAGACCTTTCTAAAGTGTTGAAGAACAAAGATGTCATCTTGAGGATCAAGGTGCGCCTGAACCAAGCCATGGTATTTTCAATAACCTCATATGCATGTGAAAACTAGACAATGAATAAGGAAGACTGTAGAAAAATTGATGTTTTTGAGTTATGATGTTAGAGGAGAATATTGAAAGTGCCATGGGCTGCCAAAGGAACAGATCTGTGTTGGAAGAAGTGCAACCAGAGTGCTCCTTGGAGGCCAGCATGGCCAAATTTTGTCTTTCAGACTTTGGACATATTGTCAGGAGGGACCAGTTGCTGGAGAAGGATATCATGTTTGGTAAGGTGGAGCGTCAGAGAAAAAGAAGACCCCCAGCGAGGTGAATTGGCAAAGTGGCAGCATCAATGGATTCAAGTGTGGAAACAATTGTGAGGTTAGCCCAGGACTGGGCAGTGTTTCATTCTGTTGTACATAGGGTCGCTATGAGTTGGTATCGACTTAATGGCACCTAACAACAATAACAACACACACCAGCACTGACCACAATTTCTGTCTTCAGTTTTTCTGATCACAAACTTTCAACCCAAAGTTGTCCCTTTCCAGCTGAACTATGTATGGTTCAGGCAGCTTAGACAATGACTGCGGGAGGCAGTGCTTGGAAAAACCCTGAATTGGCATCAGTGCAGTTTATCTTAATTAGGTCATTGTGCTTAAAACACTGATGAGACAAAGAGGGGGTGGTGGAGCTGGGAATTCCAGAAATGTCTGTTTAGGCTTGCTCATCCCAAATCCAGACACACCTAAAAGTCCCTCCTCACATTGACTCAAGATCTGGATCCAGCTGGTTGTGGAGGGGCGTCGTGATGGGCAGGGAAGGCCCTCACAAATCTGCTTGGAATCTTGGATCCTAGGCAGATGTAGTCAGTGTGATTCTTGCGTATTCCATCTGGCGAGATCCACGTGTATAGTCACTGTTTATGTTGTTGAAAAAGCATCAAGTACCAAGTTTTTGAAGACCATGGCTTCCCATCATTACACATTCAAAATCTGAGTATTTAGCTCCTCTTTGGAAGCATCATGTCTCATCTGCATTAAAGCTCTCCATTGAACCTGCTCATAAAAATAAAAACTTAAAGGGACTGAAATCCATAATACATTCCATATTAGATCCTTACATCTAACTTCCCTTCAATTTCCTTGGCCATCCTGGTCATATTACATATGTTTCCTTAGACTAGAGTCAAAGAAACAGTCATTTCCACAATATATGTGCTCTGTGGCCAAGTTTTCATTGGTTGTTGTTGTTGAGTGCCGTCGAGTCAGTTCCAATCCATAATGACCCTATATAGGGTTTCCAAGGAGAGGATGGTGAGTTTGAACTGCCCACCTTGTGGCTCAAACTGACTTTGCAGTCCAGAGCACTAACCCACATCACCACACCATGTTTTCATTGGTAGAAAGTATAAACCAAAGTTTTGAACTAGTTCACTCTGGTTTGACCCCCCTACTGATAATATTTGCCATTCTACACCAGATATACTGTATCAAAATCTGCACTTTAAGACGCTGAGAATCTTGTTAAAACTGGATTCTGGGTCAGTCTATCTCCAGGTTCTCAGTAGAGGTTAAACCTACCTGGTATAAACTTGACACTATAGTTTAAAATCAGGTCTTTTGTTGTATTCTGTAATAAATGACGTGTCAATGATGAGAAAATGAGACTAAAGTAGTAAAAATAACTGAGTTTAACTTACTCTCAGATGCTATGCGGTTTAGAGAAATGATGCCTCAACCTCAAATTTCAAGGCTCTTACTTTGTCTCTGTCTCACTTAACCTCCCTTTAATGTTAAATTTATGATCTGTAAAGTAAATCTCATAATATTTCCCCTGCCTACCTCACAGTATTGTTGTCAGGATGAAATGAGATAATGTACATAGAGAAGATTTTTATATAAAATATACAGTACAGACATTAAAAAAAAAAAGAACCTGGATCCAACTCTGCTCATCAATAATCTTCAGCTGCACATAGAAAGGACTGCTTTCTGTAGAGTAGATATGGAAATGTGATTCCCCTAGTCACTTCTATGGAATCTGCCACCCAGTCTCCTCTTTTTCACTGAATCTTTACCAAGCATGATAATAGTAATAGTAATGTAATTGTTGGTTTGTTGTTAAGTACCATGGAGTCGGTTCCCACTCAT